ACTGAAGACTGTTTTATTTCTTCGTATTCGACGAAGTGTTTTAAATACTTCTGGCCCAATGCCATTGTTCATTGAAATTCCGAACACGAGAGGATAATTTAATTCAATCCGATAACCACAAGTTTCTGACATACTGACATCATTCAAATTAGCCCCGAGTGGTTGTAATAGGGATGACAAACAATTCCATCAGAAGGATATCTGGCTTATCGGATAATTTGAGATGAGAGACTTCTGATGACGGGAAATACAGGCCGATTCGTCCTCATGTGTATCACTGAATTTTAGAAAACCACATATACAATTTTAGGAGAATGCATTCCTTATCTTGGTTGATGACTGTATCTATCCTGGAATCAGATATCGATTGTGAAATATATTTGAAAATATAGAAAGTTATTTATCCTTCAAAACATGATATTTTCGCTTGGTCATATCCATGAAACATAAAATCATCAAGTACAGATGAATTGAACTAAGGCTGAAAGGGTTATTCCTCATTCTGTACTGGATGCAAAAATTAGATTTGTATCCATGATAATGAGACAATTTTTGCACTATGAACTTTACTAAAGACGCATGTCGCTAACCAGTAGCTTACTCAAGTGAACTACGTAAGCTACTGTATAGCAAAACGTGCATTCACTAAGGTTTTTAGGGTATGAGTGTTTCATCATCATGAGAAGTTTTGATAATTTTCATCAGGAATCAGGTCAGTGTATCAAGGAATCAAATTTTGACGTTGCCCAGTATACATAAAGGAAAAGCTTGTATATGCCTCGAGACGGAAAGACGCGTTGCTAATGAGCTGCTCAAAAACTATAAAAAGTTCTGAAAAATGTGGAGGTAATAACGTGATAATTTGACAGATGAAGTGATACTGAGTAAATAGTCATCTGTGTGGAAATAAAAGTTGTCAAGGAAACCAAACACCAGTGAGTTAACCATTCTTTCCTCATCAAGGCTCCCCGACGAAATAAGGGCGAAGATGGACAGCAACAAGCAGTCAAATCCTCAGTATGAGATTATATTGGTTCAATGAAAGCATTCATCAAGAATAAAATAGAAAAATGAATTAGTGGAGAAAATAAACTAAAGATACTTCCGAAAAGCAAAACAAGCGGATACTTTCAGTTTCTTTGCATAGTCGAATTTTCGGGAGAAACAGAAATAAATTGTTATAAAAGCAGGAAAATTAGGTATTCTTTACGACGTAATCGAAAAAGAAATTGAAAATACAACTGAGCTCATCATGGATATATGTAAGAGATTCATTAATTTGACCTTTGATATTTTCTGTTTCATATCCTCTTTAAAGTGGGAAAGAAAGGGAAGCCTGCAAAAAGACCGATAATGGTATAGTTTCCTTCAATTTCTTTGAAAAATCTGATCTACATTAACAAATGATGTTTGAAGAATAGCACAATTGCTTCAGAAGAAGATTTAACTAACATCCAGATGAACATTGTTAAAGAGTCTTTGAAGAAAATAGGTGCCTCTGAGAGAATCTGGACAAATTTCGGAACAATCTTCGACAAGTTCAAGTATGAAGTATCTGCTAAAGAACTGCATACACTTGAAGATGTTGCGAAACTTCTATTTGGTCGCTTCACCAAAGGTTAATTTGTTTCTTATTTCATGTCATGTTCAATGTTCTGTTTTGTTATTATTTGCATACAAAATCATTTATGATTTCTCTGATTCAAGTTCATTTCACTACTTGATAATTAATTTTTTTCAACACAAAAGTAATAATATGTGACACCTGTTTAAAAATCCTGGGTAACTTTCGATCAGTTGAAAATTAATGGATATTGATTACTTTGACAGATCGTTATAGAAATGAAAGGGGTTTGTGTATTCATATCAAAAGCGAACCACGTCAGTATGAGGTTATTGCAAGTAGACAAGAACATGTTTGGGAACAAAATTGGTTAAAGGTTCAATTGTAAAACAGATAAATTACTGTGAACCCCCTGAACAAAATACAAAGTTGTGTCTGGAGGAATTTGAGGACAGTCTAATTTCAAACCTAATTTGTATAAGAGATTTCAATATTAATTTTTTTGACTATTAGAATAATTCTATAAGTTTTCTTCAATTATTGATTCTTCGGAGCTACAGCAAGTTATATATGTTTCATTGAAAATCACTTCAACATCGGTTACACAAATTGATTATGTTATAGTTTCAAAACAGCCTTTGGAAGAGGCAGGGGTCAAATCAAGTGCCAACGCAGTTCATTCAGTTGTACAGATTGCAAAGTGTATTGTAACAAATTAAAGAATTAACTGTCTTGAACGAATTTACTTTTAACAATATTCCACTATCACAACTAATTTATATTCCACACTTAGCAACTAACGCTTAATTCATCTTCACTGTTCGAATTCTTTATTTGAATGCACATTTCGCTTTCTGAATACAGACTGCCTTCTCGGGACGAAAAGCCGATTTTTATATTGGCAACGATCACTCCAGATCTCTTTAGTCGTTTTGGCAGTCATCTATACTTTTTGCAGGGGCTCGCAGTGAGTCATGTGCTTGCTGGCTGAGATATCGGTCAGGGCCGGCTTCAGATTCGTTACATTGCCCCCTTTTTAAAGACGTTCCGCCCGAAATGTCATCCTTGGCGTGTGTCGATACCTGCAGGACTCCCCATATCTGCATTGTGAAGTTCGATGGAAGTAACACTCTACAGTCTTCATGCTCGGTCGTGGAAGATGGTTACCGCACACCAAAATCTTGATGTCGCTGGATCTGAAGATCGTTTCCAACATGCTTCTCACAATTCTCCAGTCCAGCCTGTGGAGTCCAGAGGCTAATTTCGGGATTGCCAAGTCCACGAGATTCTGGTCGAGCATCGTGTCCTTCAGTCTAGTAAGACTCCTCCAGACATCTTCATAGGACGGTTTGTCTCGAGAATGCTTTTTGGTCACCAAGTAGAAGATGTTTTTCTGACCCTTCTGCAATTGTAGCACTCCTTCGACTTCAGGATTCTGTTCTCGTAATGTTTGGAGCTGACCGAATATCTTGTTGAATACCACTGCGATACCCTTGGACATTTGGAGATCCTCTTCCATGCAGTGTGCTGGTGTGTAATCAACTGGAACCTTGAAAAGGTCTCGTGGCTCTTCTTGAGTTACCCCATGTAAGACCTTCTGTCCGTTCGAGTTAACCGCTGGCGAATAACCTGACCTCCTGCCACGATGGTCTTCGATTACTTTTTTTCTATCCGATTACTAAATCAAGATCTGAGTCTTTCTCTTGGTCTTCCTTGATCTTATTATCCTTCCAGTTGTCTACAACTGTAGTTCTACAAAGAGCTGCTTAGTTCCCTACACCATGCCCCGATGACTGCTCACATTGCTCGTCGGCAATGTGAGCCCTGACTGGCACAACTTCATCAACACGCAACAGAGTCTTCCCCAGTGCGATTCTTCGCCCAATTTTCTCATCGTATATCTTGGGCTCGAACATTACCACCTTGCCGCTGCTCGCACTTCCGTCCAAGCGAGCCTCCAGGATGGTTTCAGCCCTTTCAGGTACGCACACGTCTTCAGCCAACAGGACCCTGATTGTCTCTTCGCTTCTTCTATGAAGCACCATCTCTTCTCCGCCAACACGTAGGATACCATCTTGAAATTCAGCTCGAACCGTCTGGAATTCATGATGTTCATTCCAATGATTGCATCGTCCTCGAAACTCCAGAGCGCTTGCCAGTGCATCCACGAGATGTTTGGGATGAGCTAGCGTCAAGGCCTGCCTCATTTCTTGGTCGCGAAGTCCATTCAAGGATGCCTGAACTGGTAACCGCTCCATTACATTTTCTGGTGTAGCAGGATTTGCCAGACGAACCAATCGAGCTATGTTGGCTTCAAACTCCTGTAGGGATTCTCCTGATTTCTGGCAGCGGTTTTTCAGCTGTGAAAGGTAAACGTGCTCTAGGTGGGCCTGTCCATACAGCAGCTCAAGATGCTTTACAAGTTGGTCATAGTCTTTCTGTTCCTGGGCAGTGAGGGTTTGCAGAATATTCGTTGCTTCTCCACGCAACGCCAATGTTAATGCTGCCGCCTTTTCTCCTACATTCCATACATTCGCTCTGGCTGCAGCTTCAAATTGTCGGCGATAATTTGCCCAAAGAGTTTTTCCGTCGAACTGGGGCGGCTTCATGAAGAGCTTTTGTGGTTCAGAACTGACTTTGACATCTTTCAGTTCTAGAATTGAGTTTTCGGTAACCGTTTCTGTGGGTTGGGCAGAATTAGCAATTTGGTTTTGCAATTTGCTAATTGTTCCTTTTATCTCGCTGATTTCTGCCTGAACTCCGCTTTTGATTTCCTCTACTTCTGTGTTCATTCTCTTCCTGATTTTGTCTATCTCTGTAGCGATGGTTTCTATCCTTTCTTCGAGTAGGCTGTAGGCTCACCACACAACTAAGCTCTTTCTTCAAGCCTTCTACATTTTCTAGAAGTTCTTTTTTCAAACTATTCGTTCCTCATCGAGTTTGCTCATTATTAAAATCAAATCACCCCCAGAAACTTCGAACAAATATGTTTCGAGATCTTCTCCCGATTCCAGCAAGTTATCCCACAGTCTCTTCTGGAGTACTGGCGCACTTTCTTTGAACACATTTTGTGTTTTATTGTCTATTTTTCACAAAACTGAATACGCACACTTATTTTAATCGAGTTCGAAACACTCATTTATTTTTACAAGTCTATTTTTCGCGAGAAAGGCCTATCAGTTATGTTTCCGTAGTCCGATACTGTCCACTTTGTGAAACACAACGAATCACCAGTCTATCTGCACGAAAGTTTTATAGTCAAATTCACCGTAATCTTCACTGTTCGATTTCTTCATTTAAACGCACGATTCGTTTCCTGAATACAGACTGCCTTCTCGGGACGGAAAGCCGGTTTTTATATCGGCAACGATCACTCCAGATCTTTCTAGTCATTTCGGCACTTATCTGTACGTTTCGCAGCGGCTCGCGGTGAGTCATGTGTGTGCTGGCTGAGATATCGGTCAGGGCCGACTTCGGATTCGTTACAGTATAGTAAAAATTCATGTACATATATATGTTTCATAAATCTCAATGAAGAAGCTTTCGAAAGAAATCTATTCAATACTGCGTTATTTCGTATATATGATCAAGGAAATATCGAAGAAGAAGTATCATATCAAGTGAACAGCCTGAATGATTTGTTTGATAAGCACATTACATTGAAAACCTCTCGAGTAACTGAGGCAAGGGCTCCGTGGTTGAACGAAACAATTGAGTTAATCATGTCGAAGAGAGATACGGCCCTGAAAAATTAAAAAAAAATCGAAAGTTCATTCACAGTCTTATCGATAAATGCGAAATTTAACAAACTAAGCTTTTTCAAGAGAGATAGGTAAGTGGAAAAAGTCGCATAAATTTGTAAATGAAAAAAGTAATATTAATCTTTATACTGAAATAAAAAATCCAGGTGATGTGAATGATTATTTTATCGGTTCAATTCCGCATGATGAACCTTCCACAGAATTGTGACATTTCTATAATGATAGTGAACTAAATATATCATAAAACGTTTATGAAAATTGAATTATAAAAGTAGTATTTCACTATGTAAGAAATTAACAAAAAATAAATAATAATTGCACAAAGAAACTTTCTCTCGGTTATCTCAAAGGTGCGATTTTGTTCCATCCTTTACATAAAAGAGGACGTATGCTTCTCCACTCACAAGCGACTTTGGTGAAATTGGTGACACGTGTGAATCGTTGTATTTGTGACACGCGCCAGTATACGGGTGTCTGCAGTATGCTGTATAATGTACTCTGTTAGTAGTCCCACTGTGATTTAAAAGTGCTAACAAGTAGCCACATTTTCTGCTGCAAAATTGTCCATATCCAATCCTTCTAGAGGAAATTCGATGACATCATTCAATTTGCCTCTACTTTCCGTTGAAGAGAATCTTTTTAAATGTATTACTAAAATATAGGGAAACTTATGTATTGATAGGGACTTTGTGCATTTTCTCCTTTCCTTGCATTTCGAACACGTCGGTTTTTCAATTCCATCAAAAGTTTCTTCTCTTCTAAAAGAATTCATCGTGGATTTCAATTGGCCAACGAAATTATCTACATCCTGCATCCTCAAATATGTGAGCCATGACTCTTGTGCATTTCCGCTGTCGCTCAATTTGTCGTCAATCTCCGTTAAGATTGGTTTAGGTTTCTCATTAATTGAATTAACCTCTTCATGTAATCCTTCTGAAAGATAACGGAGAAACTCCTGGGCGTCTTGATGGGAATTACCCATGAATCGAGGAGCAAAACTTTGAATCTGATTTTTTAAGGAGGCTGTATTTACTACTTCATCAAATGAATCTTCTGACCACAACTCCTTGATGATTTCTGCAAACGATTTGATTAAAGCACCCTTCATAATAGAAATACTAGGATTGATATCTTTCATGAATTCATCCTTTTTGAAATATTCCAATAACCATCTCGTATTTGATAAACATTGAATTACGCTGTTCATGAAACAAGTGTTACCAATATTTTTTAAACCATTTAACCCAAAGGTTTTGACTGAAGAATTTATCACTTGTTTATTTCGATTTCAAATTTTATGAAGTTAATGATTTACATAGTACCTCATATAATTTCATTTAATGGAAGAGTGTAGTTGTGAAAGTTATTCTGAAAATGCAAATTCCAGAAGAATTCAAAGATTTACGTGCAATAAACATATTACCAACTATATGGAAAGTTATAGCGGGGGAAATGTAAATGCAACAGAGTGTTATAGTATACTTCTTATACAATCAGGATTCCGAAAACAATATAGCTCCACAATTGCTCTCCATTGTTGATGACATCATCTTGACCACAAATAACAAACAGTACATAGTGTTGATTTTATTGGATTTCAGTAGATCGGTTGATACGATAAATTCCAATTTTATGAAGAATATGTTAAAATAAAATGCAGGTTCAGTAGGGTTGAGTGAGATAGCAACTCTTGTGATTCTCCATCACGAGAACCTTTGTTTTCAATACGAATCTACTCTATAACACTGTAGCACTTAGTATTATGACTGATAACAATAAATACTATATTTTCCTTATCATTTTTCACTCAAAGTTGCGCTGATCGGGTCCTATCTCCCGAAGCCCCGATACAATCAGGAAAGCGCGATAATACTATCAACTAAAATCCGCTCCCCACGCCGTGAGATGAATGATCATTGGGTCCGAGAATCATATGCCCTGAGCAACTGCAGTAAGCCAAGAATGACAGCCTTCTGCATTTTTCCGGCTAGGATTTTTGCCTGAGTGCGGCAAGCTGGCATGATTTTGAGATTCGAGAGTAGAGAGGACATCATTCTACCAAGGACACCGATAATCGAAACAACCACCTTGACAGAATGGTCTGTCAAGGTGGAGTTCCAAGAGAAAATTTCGATATTTCATCCGTTTCTCCTCCTCTTTTCATACTATATTCGTCAAGTCGGAGCTGAAAACTCCATAACAAATATCGTCTCGCTCTGGTGGTCGAGAAGAACTACATCAGACTCATTATCATTATCATTATATATTAATCTAAGTTTGTGCCAGTCAGGCCCTATTTCCCGAAGCTCTGATACATTCAGATGGGCGCGCTAGCATTATTCACCAACGATTAGTCCCCACACCGCGGGATAAGTGATCATCGGGTCCGAGAATTATGTGCCCTGAGTAAGCGCAATAGCTTACTCATTATTATCATCATATATTGCGTATTCCTACTTCATCAATTATTTTTCATTTCAGGACGAGCACACCATTCTTCGGTCATGGGCTGTGAAAGACTTCGCCCCAGCCGTAGCTCAATACGTTCAAATTTTCAGGCCAGAGAATAAACTCCATGTTAAATTTGCTGAATACGTAGTATGCGAAGACGAATTCAAGTACGCCCTGTTAGCTAATAATTGCACTTGTCCAGGTGCATCTACACTGGTGACGTTGCTTTTACACACATCTAGAGGACAGTAAGTGAAATAGATAATTTCCACTAGTTCATGTCAAGTGACAAAATTTATCAATAGGAAAAAACAACAATTTGCAGTTCTTGCTAATGCTCATAGTCGACAATTTATCATACTCAAGGATGAACATGATTTATCTCATAACATTTACCAAAAAATAAATTATCTGGATTCCATAATCAAGTGTATTTGGAAGTCATATCAGGCACCAAGCTGGTAAACCCGTTTGATTCTCGGTCATATTTCAATTATGTTTGAAATAGGTTTGCAATGAAGGAGCACAATAATTAAATAAAATTCATTTAATGGTCACTAAGTATCTGAAACTCTCAATATCATCAGGTATACATGCATCGTAGATCAAAAAGTTGCTGTCGTAAATACATATTTGCATTCGAAATTTAAAAATCGAAGTCGAACGGTACCCTGCATAAAAATGAACTATTTCCGATTTCCAATTGGAAGTTCTCTTGAAGAAGTTTCTGGAAACAAAAAAAAATATTTTGGTTCTTCCCGTTTATATTCGAACGCAAAAAGGCTATAGTAGATTATTTGGTACCACTAAAATAAGCAGATTCACTAGAATTCAACCTACCCTCTATCTTTCATCTTTCCTAATTCATTGGCTTTCATAACAGATAGTTACAATATTTGTTTGTCAACCTAAAGTTTCAGGTGAAAATTCTAGATCCCCTTTCTTGATGCTTATTTACGCTACACAAAGAACCAACCTGCATATTTCTAGGTTTGGAGGTACGTTAATATAATTTCATCGTCATAACTTTCAAATAATTCGTTCAAATCACTTAGTAGGGTAAAAAATTAGTGTAGTTTCCTCCCCAACACCAAACCGTTAAACCGTTAAACACCTCGACACGTGTTTTGATCACCAAGTGATCATCTTCAAGAGAAAAATTAATCTTTCTCTTGAAATATAACTCTTTCAATCAGGAAATCATTTCTCCTTCTCATCGATTGCCGTACACAGTGCAAATTCCGGGGATGTTGGTACACATGATTCGTTTTGTCAAGACTTTCCACATATCAATGGCATCGTATGAGCGAATAATATGAAAAACTACTTGTGCATTTTCAAAATGCGATACGATAGGCTTAATTCAAAGAGAAATGCAGAGCTGAAAAGGTCATCAAGAAAAAAAAAACATTTCTACCAATCAAGATCGGTCTGGTGATAGAATTCTGTTTTACTTCAAATATCAAATATTCATATATCATTACGTTGGGAATGAAGAACTTTGACGTTTGGAGAAGGATTTGCAACTTCTCATATTCTTTCAAAAACCACACTCTCATCTCTAACGTTTTTGTTATGATTTCATTTATCACACTGCATACCTAAACACTGCAACCCATGACTCAATCGGATGACATTGGATATCATTCCAGGAAGTATAAACCTCTGAAGAAGCGCAAGCGGAGCGTCAGGAAAAAAAATCAGAAATGTACGGCCTTTGAACCCAAAAAACAGTGACACCGTAGCCAAAGTTGAGTAAGGTTCCCCATGCCCTATCCACTTTTGAGCCAAAGTTTGAATGAAATACGAGTATCCACCAGCATTGAGGAAAAAATGCGAAGGTGCTTCCTGCTTATGAACAATATATTTCCTGGTACTACTGAAGCTATATTAGGTGAACTAATTAGCAGGGTTTATTAATAAGTTTATTTAATAAGCCATTATGTGAAATAATGAGTCTAAATGCATTCCAGTTTATAAGAATGAAGGTCCTATAAAAGAAATGAAAAATTATAGATATGTCTGCATACAAAATCAAACTGCAAACGTTTTTGAGACATTATACTCCACACGATTGACAGCTTATTTAGAGAACTCTCAACTAATGCCATCCATTCAGAACGGATTTCGAAAAAATAAATCAACTAATACTGTAATTTATGACTGGTTGGAATTAATATGTAGAGCAGTAAACTAAAGAAAAAATGGCATTGGCCTATTCTATGATCTAAGCCAGGCATTTGATACCACAGACCATAACTTATTAAGACTCAAACTAGAAGCTATAGGAGTTCGTGGTGTTGCTCTAGACTGGGCAACTACTTACTTGGAAAATCGAAAACAAACTGAAGTATGAGATTCCATAAAATTCAAGACAAAAAAAAAGTTCTCATAAAGGTGTACCACAAGGCTCCATTTTGGGGCCTCTTCTCTTATTAATATTCACGAGCGACATAAAACACCCCTGTGTTGCTGCAGATCAAATCACTCTCTATGCAGATGATACGAATATTTCAATGTTCAGAACAAATTATGAACAACTAGTAAAGAATGGTAATAAGGCATCAAAGGAAATCAGTGACTATTGTGGTAAAAACGGACTAGCACTAAACACCGCTAAGACCTATCATATTCGATTCTTACCAAAAAATATGAATCCTGATAATGATCTCTACTTAACAGTCAATGGAAAATCGATAGAAAGCAAAGAGAGTATGAAGTTCTTAGGTGTTGTGCTTGATAGGAAACTTTCATGGGAAAACCATATCACCACTTTATGTTCAAAACTCAGCACAATCACATACNTTATTTAGAACTGATCCAAGTTTTTCAGAAAGGTTATGTACATAAGGAATTTTGAAATATTTTGAATTGTTAATTTCTAGTATAGGTTGTCTATTTTTTTATATATATAAAACTATCAATTATCAATTTTAATCAATTTATTTCAGATACAAATATCTTTTTGACTAGTCCGATAAGTTACTTATTCTGTAGTTTTCACCACACAATGTGCATTCTTTTGTGATGAATAAATGATTCTGATTCTGATTGTGTCTTCTAAAAACTGTGTATACGTCATACTTGGGAGAAACTTCTACTGAATTGAGTTATTTATTGAAGGATCATCATCTGTTTTGTCATTAATGTCCTCACTCTACTAGAACGTTCAACATGTGCTGTTACAGATACATACAATATCCAGTTTTTAATTCCAGTTTTTATGTGGTAACTGTTTTGGCCAGAATTAGGGAAAAAGGCGTCATCAGATCATTGCTCCATATACACCCTACTGACAGGCAGATGATCACTTTATCTATGGAATCGTAGAAAATTATCCCATCAATATTGTTCATCAGTCAATTAGAATTATTTGAAACATATAGAACGTTTTTGATTGTTCTATAAAGAACTGTGTGATCAGTTTTCGAAATAGTGACAAAATGCATGCAGTTTCACGTTATTCTTCGGTTCAACACAAGTTTAGTTTTATTCTAGAATATCATTATATTTTCAGGGAAGGCCAACAATCACAAGAAGAATGGCATAGGCTCTACGGCAGGTGTTCGGGAAATGAAATTTATCATATCAAACTAGAAGACAGCCGTTTTTTTGGTGAATACGAGGGAAAGAGTTTTACGTACGCCAGTTTCCATTCACATAGAAAGTGAGTAATATTGTCACCATTTTAGGAGAACTTATGAAAGTAGCATTTGTAGAAACTCAGTTAATTGCAAACAATATAATCCTTCCTGAAGGTCACATATAACAAACAATTTTGTGGTTATTGATATTTTATGTAACATTTTCTGAATCGGGGACACCCATATCGATTTCTAATGAATAATAATAATAGGTCTTGGCGGTTTCGGTTTATAAATATCGACATAACGCGGCCCTAAGAGTTCTATATTACCATCTACGACACTATTACGGTATTGAAGAGACACCGATGTTGACCTATGCTCCGGGGGATATTCATTCCGTTGTGGGCAATAAGAAGTGCTGAATTTTTTAAAACTATTCGTTCCCCACCCTCAGGCTCATGTAAGCTAATGAGTCTAATGTGGTCTCAACCACCAGAACAAGATGATATTTTTCTTTTTCAGCTCCTGGCGGAAAAAATACCATTCGTAAAGAGGAGTAAAACTAGACAATATATCGAGATTTTCTCTCTGAACTCCGCAGACTCTATCCAGATAATTCTGTGAAGATGGTTCCTAGTATCGAATTTTAAAATCAAACCGGCTTGCCGCACTGAAGCCGAAATCTTAGCCGGACAGATGCAGAAGATTGTCATTCTTGGCTCACTTCGCTTGTTCAGGGCACATGATTCTCGGACCCAATGATCACTTACCCCACGGTGTAGGGAGTGGTCGCTGGTTGACAATGCTGGCGCGCCCTCCCGAATGTATCGGGGCTTCGGGGAATAGAGCCTGACCAGCGCATACTACAGTGAAAAAAATATTAGTGATAATAATAATGATAATAATTTTATTCGCAATAATAAAATACAAACACTAAATTCCAATCATTTACAGAGTTGCAAATTAAATGACTCAGTCATTTAGGTTCTGGTGAACCTGTTTATGACAGCTACTCACAAGAAAAACGATTATATAATTTTTGAATTTAATTGATGAATACTGCCAGCGAAACAATTTTCGAAAAGCGATAAATGTCCAAGCATTTTATAATGCAATATATAGAGTAGCCCCGATAGGTTCCTTTTCCATTCTTATTCTTTATGTTTTGCTCATATTGACGACGCCACATCTAGCTGTCATCCGATTGAAAGGCATAAAATCAAATAACGATGACATAATGTTCACAATAGTTGTATCATCACTATACAAGATATGGTCAGTGTTGATATGTTTCTGAATTGTATGAGTCAGATGAAGATAGGTTCCTGGAGCACTGGTTGACGTACATGATCCCAATTACAACGAGAAACATCATTGACGATAATGATCACCACTTAGGTACGAATGGTACTACACTACTTCATTTGAATTTCATAAACTACTCCTAACGATTTGATCTCCAAGAACTTCATTACAAAAATATATCACAATATGTTTCGCTTGAATCGATTAATGGTACCTAATTGACTATGAAAAAGCTGATGTGTAAGGTGTAGTTTATGAAATTATTAAGGATCTTCATCAAGTAACGACCGAATCAATGAAAACACTTCATTTGAAACAACTATATTGACTCAACACATACATCGATACAAAGAGTCAACATGGACTTTGAGGGAAGAGAATCCCTGAGGAAAATATTGATATACAGTACGCCATACATCTCTATTATTCAAATCCACTGCAGAACATAGGAGAATCTCTTTTTTGTGGCCAAACCAGCGTCTGTTATTCAAAAAACTCAACAAGGTGCCGCCGAAACTGCTTATTCACCACAGCAATAGCAGCAAAAGACTCATCCTTGAATTTTTTTTCTACAGGGTGTAAATAAGTACGTTAAAATATCCAAGTGACGTATTCCTGAGACATTTTTAAGAAAAAAAGTCTTCATGAACTTGTGTCCTGGATTGAGTTCCGTTGACCTTGGGGGCCAATGCTCAGTGCCTCCTCTTCCTATCCATCGTTGGGGATATGCTACGTCTGAAAAGTGTCTTGCTATCACATTAAAATGAGCAGGAGCTCCATCGTGCATAAACCAAGAGTGATTTCGGAGACCAATGGGAACATCTTCCATAAGTGATCTGCTACTTTGGGGAAGCTCGTGTTCCAAAAAATATAGGTGAGTATCTCCATTCAAACGTAAGGGGAGAAAATAGGGTTCAGTTAAATAATCCCCAATTATGCCTACCCATACATTAAAAGGGAATCTGTCTTGAAAATGAGTTTGCGTTATCGCATGTGGGTTATCTTCCGCCCAGATGTGGTTGTTATGAAAGTTCATGATACCAATTCTTTGAAAATTATCCTCATCTGTGAAGAGGATTTTCGATAAAATTCTGAGGATGTTGTTCGACTTTTCTTTGAAGCCATTGAGATACGTGGTTGGATATCACGTAGAGTAAGCGCCTGGACACACTGAATATGATAAAAATATAATTGCTGTTCTTGAAAATTCTGTGAACTGTCATGTGACTCACATTCAAAGTTTGAAAAATTTTTCTTGTACTCGTCTCTGGATGGTCACTAATTTTTTCGAGAACCGCCTCCTCCAATTCTACAATTCTTGTAGTCCGTGGCCGTCCTACTGCAGAATTTGTTTCAAAACTTCCAGATTCGGAAAGTCGCCGGAAAAGATTCGTAAATGTCGCTGCACAAGGAGTCACGCGTTAGGGATACCTTTCCTGATAGATGCGTCTGGCCTCGCTTGATTTTCCGTTAGCCAAGCCGTATGCAAAAACCATATCAGCTATTTCAGCATTCGTAAAGTCGGGCATGGTACCAAAAACTCACTTCATAAACTCCGAACTGTAAATTTGTCAATTGATAGTTAAGAATGTGACAGCGAACTTCTATTTTCATAGCCTACTCGATTTAATTAACTTAATTTGCAAGCGGAGTGTGACAAAAATTATTGAAATCAAATTTGGCTATAAAGTAATATGCATCGATATGGAAAATTGTAAATATTTCGAAAACGATCAATTTCAGCGTTATTGAGAAGGTGTTCCTTTTTCACTTGGAAAATGTGTGGTTTTTTCATGAAAAGTACCAAAAGTTTACTGTCAAAAAAGTTAGGGCAATTTGAAATAAATAATGACAGCGTACGCAGCGCCCTCTAGATGTTACAAAAAGTGAACAATAAAATTCAATTTCAACACCCCGCATCTCCAAAACGAAGCATTTTCGGACACAAGTTCATATAGACTTTTTTTCTCAAAATTGTCTCAGTAATACGTTACTTGAATATTTTAACGTACTCGTGTTAGACCCTGTATATTATCGTCACTATTCGCACTATTCGCCAGCTATTCGCAGTTAAAGTAAGAAATCGTTAAAAGCGGCTGGTCGGTCAATACACATCAGTCTGTCAGTTAATATTCAATAATTCAACGTGAAATTGACATCAATTCAACTCTTCAAAGGCATCGCACAGGATACGGCAGTGGCAGGACAGACATAAATTACTGCAATCGAACTCTGCCTAGAAAAATTGTTTAGGCAGAAGATGCTCAGCCTACGAAGTATTTTCAACCCTACGAAGTCTTTTTTTACTACTTGTAAACGCCCCTAATAAGCTAGGTTCCCACAATAGCGTTACAGTAGCCTGTATACCCGGAGACGAAGGACAAAAGGGCATGAGGAAGTCGATGCTTCAGCCGGGGAAGGTGCGTCAAGGTCATGATTGATCCAGAACCCTTCTGTGGGCTGGCGAAGACAAGTATCCGATTCGTGGATGCAAGCCAAATTGCTAAATTGGTGGAACAAGACGGAATAGGTTATAAAAGAAACTTTGCCCAAATTTACGAAAGACCTGCTAAATCACAACCGCAAGGTTGAAAGAGTAATAGCAGGTCTACTGGCGGGGCATTGCCATCCCATAAAACATTCAAGCATTTTGGACCTGACGGAACAAACAGAACCTACATGGAGTGCTATGTGAATGCGAAGCGTTAGCGAAGTTAAGGTATGGGAGATTGTGGAATGAGAAACCAGAGGCTATGAGCTATATGAGGAAGCCAATATCAAGGCTTTGGAATCTCACTGAAGATATCAAACTAGATGAGTAGCTCTAATAACCAAGGATCATCACAATAGTTCTGCAGAAGTCGCAGTGAAACAGATCGCATGCCGCAGGCCCTATCAGTACGATTGATCTCATTCTTCAATGGAATGAATGGATCGTGTTGAAGCGAACAAACTCAGATTGATGAACTTGAGAATGATTTTCTAACTGGTTTGAAAATTGTATGTAATATTACCATCGCACAAAAGATTCAAAACTTGCTTTCAGATAACAGGAGTTGATCCGTGATTTTTCATTTCTATGAAACTTTGACTGAATGTGTGTTGTGAAATAATTTTGTGGCTTTTTCTTTTTCGACTGGTGGTTCTCTATATGGATGACCTTGGCTACTGAAGAATTGTTGTAGAGAAGGATCCAGAACTGAATTAATATTCACAAGGTGATAATTTTTTTCACTCGTAGTGCCTCTCTTTCACTGAACTAAGGATTTCACCTAATGTGAGACTGAAAATATATTTTCAATTATTTCTATTCTTTCTTTGATACGGAATTTGATATTGACACAATCGAATTAAGAAGTTTGTAATCTCATTGCCAGTACACTATTTCGTCCCGCTGAACTAGCTCAAATACATAATGGTGTCATATAGCTTCTTCGGCACACAACGATCTACTAATATTCATTAAACCATTGACGACGCTATTCTAATGTGTGAATATTATCATCATTTTTAATTTTCTTTCGCATAAAATCTATAATTCTCAATGGATTTCGATGAAATATATATTCGAAATGTTGTAGCTGCTTTCCATTATAATACCCTTTCCCTGAGGAAATCTTTTCCAATTTCGAAGATATAATAGGATGCCTGAACGTAATTGTTCAGGGCATTAAATTTGCCAACGTTTATGAGGTCGTAAGAATTGGCAGAGGAAACGAGATTTACGTTCACCGTTCGAGGCCGTTGAGAAATTATGATTGTAATTGATACAATT